AGGTTACTCTGAATATTGATGTAGATACTTTAGTGTGCACTAGTCATAGCTGCCACGTCAGCGATCCGCGCACTTGGTAGGTACAGAGTGGATGTGTTAGTTGACAGTGCCACGTCAGCAATCCGTGTGCTTGTAGGTAAGGATTGAGTGTGTTAGTTAGTGTGTTAGTTGGGTGCGCCACGTCAGCGATCCGTGTGCTTGTTAGGGTTATCCGCCACGTCATCCATCCACTAGGAGTGGTATGGATGGTGGGGATTAGATCTTATCACCTTGTACTTGTTGGTGAGAGCTATATAAGGGAGAGGAGAACCATTGTTGGTATCTCTCATCTTCAGAGTTTACGTTTCTATCTTCGAGTGAACTTCTCTCTAAACCCTAGTGTTACACCAAGAGTCAGCTTTGTAGTTCTGAAATTCTTCCTCCATCAATTTTTTCCTGGTCGCTTCACACACTTTCTTCAATGTTAGAAGACTCAAGAAAGACTATGTCTGCTCTTTGCTGGACTCATGGATTTTTTGTCTCCTCTATGTGAAGGCAGTAAGTGATTAATACCAAAGCTTCCACAATTTGAAGCACATATCTTTGTGCTTAGATCAGGAATTCATTGCATGTGACTGGAAAAAACTCAAAAAAAGGCAAAGAGCCTGAATCACTCGACAAGAAATCGAGCAGTACTTTGATCAGGGAAGGGCTTGAAGTAGACAATATAGGCGATCCAGCAGCATCCGCGCCCTTTCCGAGTTCCGAGCTGCACAATTTTTGAATTTGGAGGCATTGTGCCACCGATGATTTACTCGCCATGTCACAACAGTTTATACTCTGAAACAAAATGCTGAGAGTCTCAATCAAACAATGTTGGAAAAAGTACAAAGTATGTTGAGTTAATCAGATTTATCATGTGAATTTTGAGCCAAAGCTCTCAACACCGCAATTTATTTGATAAACCTTTCTCCTTCAAATGCGATCAATTTCTTGACATGGTAAAGTATGGCTGATTATAGTCGTTTCAAAATTTTTGATTGTATTGCTTATACTCTCATACCCAAGCAAAATATAACAAAGTTAGATCCTAAATTCAATAAGTGCCGTTTTTTTGGATATGCTAATGGTGTGAAGGATTACATGCTATGGAATCCGATAGCCTGTAAGTGAATTGTTAGTAGAGATGTTACTTTCGATGAACCCAAATTCTTGAAAGAGGGGGAGATATCTTTGGCTCCCTATAAGGATAAGAAAAAAATCTACTCTCACGGATTATGTTGAGGGAGATTTTGATTATGATGTGATTAATGATTTGATACAAGAAGGAGCATCAGTACAAGTGAAACAAGTTCTTGAATAATAGAAACTAGAGGAGGAGGTTAATATTGATGAGACTCATGTGGCTCCACCGGATGATAGAGATCGATCAAAATTTTTTACGATGAGATCATCAAATCAAGTTCTTGTTAGGTAAGGTGAATGGATTGATTCATCCATTCTTCAAGATCTTAACATTGATATAGAGGATGATGATGACATTGTGTTGATCTTGGAAGAAGTGAACCTTCTTCATATAGGGAAGCTCCAGCTTTGATCAATAAGTTTGAGTGACAGCTATGGAGCGTGAGATGCAATCGTTGATTGATAACAAAACTTGGGAGTCAGTTGAATTTTCTAAGAATCAAGCGTTGATTGATTGGAAGTGAGTGTACAAGCTGAAAGATAGTCCAGAAAATGACGAGGCAAAGCCAGGTTGATGGCTATAGGTCTCACACAAGAGAAAAATGTGAAATACCACAAAGTTTTTTCACCATTAGCGAAGTATGCTACAATTCATCTCGTACGTGCATTGGTTGTGATATTTAGTTTTGATATGGATCAGATGGACGTGGTTTCAACTTTTCTCTATGAGCATATAAAAGAGAAGATGTACATGAGACAACCGGTAGGCTTTGAATCAAAAGTTTATGAGAGGTTGGTTTGTAGATTGCTGAAATCACTATATGAACCTAAACAAACTTCTAGGTAGTGGAACATAGTCTTGATGAGTTTAAAAAGGCACAAGATTTTTCACGGAGTGTGTATGATCCTTGTGTTTACATGGAAAAAATGAATTATAAGATTTTCAATTTTATTATTTTAGTAATATACGTAGATGACATGTTTATCTTGGCAAATAATGAATCCTACTTGGACAAATGCAAGTAGTTGAAATTTTCATTTAAAATGAAGTATTTGGAGGAGTCAAAGAGTATATTAAGAATGAATATTCACAAGGATTTGGTGAAGCAGAGGTTATGGTTTAATCAGGTCAAATATATTTGATGTATACTTGATATGTTCAACATGGTTTATTCTAAAGGAGTATGAACCACTTTGGCAGCACATTTCAGATAATTTGTATTTCAATGTACTACATATGTCATTGAAAAATGAAAAATGTCATGTGTTTCCTATGAACAAACTGTGTGCAGCCTCATGTATTTGATGATGTGCACGAGTCCTGATATTGCTCTAGCAATGAACAAGGTGAGTAGTTACATGTTGAATATAGAGAATGTTCACAAGGAAGCAATGAAATGGATTCTTAGGTTTTTGAAAAGTACTAAGAATTATAATTTATTGTTTGATGATTCATTAAACAATCCCAAATGTTCTTATGGTATGTTGATGGTGAGTACATACAGGATCTGAATAAGAGTAAATCTATAACTTGGTATGTGTTTACACTTGACGGTGGAAGTATTATTTAGAGATCTACCTTGCGAAAGTGTGTAGCTCAGTCTACAACGCAAGTTGAGTATGTAGCGGCAAAAGAAGCTATTTGATTAGATAGATTTATCATTAAGATAGAATTGAAAGAAGACTTGGTCAATCTTCATTGTGATAGTCAGAGTGCTTTATATCTGGCTACAAATTTGATGTTGAATAGGAGAGTGAAGCACATACACATCATATATCATTTTATCAGACAAGCAGTGTTTGATAAAGGTATTGAACTAGTCAAGATAGATTGTAAGCTCAATACACCTGACGCATTGACCAAAGTTATTTTTTTGGAGATTTTCAAACAACATTGTCCTACTATGCAAGTTTTGCATGGAAAGCATAGGTAGAGTTTGCTAGTAGTTTCTTCATTTACCTCTTCACATTATTACTCTATGTTGTAATGGCTATGGCTTAGTTAACTCTAGTTATAAAGAGTTTAGTTTTCTTTCTAGAACTTAACGCGGAATAATTATATAGATTATAGAGGTTACTATTTCCTCAACATGAGTTAAGGGAAGATTGTTGCGATTAACTTCACTTTTGAAGTGACCTTCTATTTTTCATCGGTTGAAGTCGGTTGGGACTTGGATATCTCTAGTGTGTACCCCTCGCTACCTGTTTTATTGAAGTCATTTTTATTTGGCCTGTGAACGTAGTCTAGAAAGATGAAACACATACTTTAGTGTGTACTTGTGTACTTCGATTATGTTTCGCTGTCATTGGTTGCTACTTCACTATCACCCGTTGCTCCTGTAGAATTATTCAATCAAAAAACTGACAATACAAAGTAAATAAAATTGAACGTTTATCTTCACTAACAAATAATTTCTGTGATATTGTTCATTTATGACTTAGATATTGAATTGACTTAGAATTGCACAATTCAATGGATCATTGATCTCAAGTTTGATCAGATTCAATTTTTTATAGTATGATTAGCTAGAGTGTTATATCTCTTGCTATATAAACATACCTTAAAAGCTCTCTACAACACAAATAGTTTTATGTATTACAAAATATATGGGTTTATTTTGAATATCATTGAGATTAACCTTATATTCTTTTCTCAAGTCCAAAGTGACAGTAATATGTATTGCATCTTCAAGTTTTAATCATACATAACCCAACATACTCATAGTATTAAAAATGTGTATTCAATCTCAGTTTATTTTCAAGTTAGACTTAAAAATTTCACATATCATTCAAGGTAAATTATGGAGCATTGAAATATTTTTCACATGCTTTTCATTTGTATGTTATATTTATTGATATGAAAACAAATCATTCAGAGTTTAATGATTCCTTGAAAGTTGCTTGTGCTATGTTATTTTGATCAAAAAATTTAATTATATAGAGATATATATTTTATAAATTTACATAGGAAATAATAAATCACTCTAGAATTTTAAATCTAATAGATATTGTCAAATTTATTGTAAAAAATTTGATAAATATAGACCCCCAAAAAAATTATTTTTTAAATAAATAAGAGAAAAAATCTTTTAAATAGTTTCAAAAAATATCATTCTTAATTTATAGTTATGTTTACTTACGTTTGAGTTTCCATAATGTAAACTTATGAGAGATTGATGTTGTCGCGACACATTGAGTAGTTCTCATATATATGAAATCAATATCACTAAAAAAAATCTGGTCAAATTTAGTATTATATCTAGGATTATATAAAGTGAATTAGCTAGCATAAGTTTAGTACCAAACAACACTATAATTTTGAGTAAAACTCATCATTCCATGTTCGTACAGTTGAAAAAACAAATACACCACGCACTCTTTGTGTTAACTTTCTGTTTGAGTTGTTTCCTTGAGAATTGCTATTCATCAAGGAAGTATTGGAAAGTATCTTCTTCAATACATTTATGAAGTATTCATCTAGTTTTTACTTTCATGAATACTATCAAATAGATGGATTTTCTTATGATACTTGATCACCTTCGATCGGAATAATTGCTGTCATATCTCCCATGGACATCTTGTGGAGAAATTTTCTCAACCCGAAAATGCTTAATGCGAACTTCGTTTCTGTCGTTCCAATAATTCTTCGTCAATGAGGTTGTGGTCTTGTTTGTGCTTTGGGCCCCGGGACTGTTTCGAGGAGCACATTTCCCCACGTCGAGGAACTCGAAAAAACCCGAAAATCCTGAAATGACGGGACATGCCCGGAAGCCCGAAAGAGACCGCAAATGGCGTAAGGATGGAGCAAGAATGAGACCACAGTTCCGACTTTCGGGAGTCTCGTTTTCGTGCTGGGACGAAATTCTGGGCGATTCTCGAATTGTGCAGCTATGGCGGCACGCGTGCTGCTCGTGCGACCAGCGCTTCCGGTTACCGCAATTGTTTCTCATCTCCCTGTGCCGGGATCCGCGTCGTCTCTATGCCCTGCAATTTCAAGAACCCATCCATCCGCAGAGCTCACAAGATTGCTGTGCTCTCGGTCCTCCCCTGCGGCGGAATCGTCTTGCGCGCATGGATCTATCGGCATCAGGACTCGAAGGTCTGTGAATTTGGGTGGCACTTTTGCAGGCAGTTCTGTGAATTTGGAGTCGTTCGAGCGATTTGCAAATTGTCGGTCCAGGACGATCTTCTCGGCAATGTCGGCTGGTCCTTCAGAGACTCAAACGGTGTCCATGGAGGAGGAGGAGGAAAGGTACAAAGTTCAAGAGAGGATAGATGAGCATCAAAAGGCAGCCACTAAATTGCCCCGTGTCGTCGAAGCGCGCACCGTCGTCGATAAGATCACGAATGGTATACTCTCGACGATCTCCAAGAAGCTTGATGGGAGTCCGGTGCCGTCGATGGTGCCCTACGCGGTGGACGAGGGTGGCAGGATTCTTCTGTGTGTAAGTTCTCTGTCTCCTCACACGGGAGATCTTGATGCGAATCCCAAGTGCTCCATGCTCGTTGCGAGAGATCTCAACGACAGAAGCGATATTGTGATCACCGTCACTGGGGAAGCGCATGCAGTCTCTGCAGAAAATGAAGCGGATGCGAAGAGTGCGTTTCTGAAAAAGCATCCGGGTGCTTTTTGGGTCGACTTCGGGGACTTCAAAATGGTGCGCATAGAACCGAAACATGTTCGGTTCATTTCAGGAATTGCGAAAGGCACTGCAGCCGTTTCACAGTTCTCAGGAGACGAATTCAAAGCTGCAGCTGTTGACCCCATCTCGCAATTTGCTGCTCCTATCGCTCACCACATGAACAGAGATCATTCGGATCAGACGAGGATGATTGTGGAGCACAATGTTGGGATTAAGGTCGATTCTGCCATAATTGAAGAAGTAGATAGTTTTGGGTTTTATGTATTGTCCCAATTTGAAGGGAAGCCACTAAAGTTGCGAATTCCATTCCCAAGAAAGGCGGAGAGTCGCAAGGATGTGAAGACGCTTATTGTCGAGATGCTATCTGCAGCCACTGCTAAGTAGAATCAAGAGATGAGAAATTAGAACCTGGAATTGTGCAGATGGTGAGAGGGTTTGTAGCTAGTTTTTCACAAACCTTTGGATACTGCAGAGATAAAGTCTCGTGTAAATTGCCTGTACAAATTTATAAAAAATTGGCGTGGAATTGGTCTCGCCCCTCCCAATGTTTCAGATCACTCAGGACTGTCAATGTTTCAACCTCAACTTCTGAAGCTTGTGAAGATACTAAGAATACAACGTCAGTCTCTGGAAGATGTTCTCCACGAAGTGGTAGAGCAAGTCTTACGGTCACAAGTCTCCTCTTGGTAATTATCGCAGCCCACCGCCGACTTACTAAATGTGCGGATTACCTCAAATTGATATTCAATTGTTGCGTGAACTTGAATTCTGAGCGTGATTTTAGCTCTTTCCCGTCTTAATGTCATGTGTGGGTGGCCGCGATTTATTCTAGAGAAAAGTACTTGTTGCCTTCACAGTCATTCCTTGTCCGACCTTAAGCAAATTCGAGCAGTTGAATTATTAGCTTCCCCCTGACGTTCCATAATTCGGCATTGAGTACCAAATGACTTCAGAACAGTATCCGATATCACTAAATTCGGCGGCTTCTTTCCACCACTCAAAACACAATTGAGATGCAAAGAATCCGAAGTTCACGTTCGACTGCAACATTAACCATAAATTTCTAAACAAGGTTCTTCTTTCTATAAGCTTCGCGTCAAAATAGCTTTTTCGAGTTTTATTCTGTGATCAGAGTAGTGTTTTAATTTTACTCCTAAACAGAAGAATCATCTGAGTCATCTGACATCAGCTCGTCTAAAGAAAACTCATCCTCTTCAATCAACACTCCATCCTTGCCATCCCATGGCTGCGTGTCGTCCAACACAATCGACGTAATAAGAGGGACGTTTCCTCTACCTCCCCTTCCTGCTTCTTTCACAAAGTTCCTGCATATAAGACGGAGAAAATTACATCTGAGACTGAAGCAACAAATCGGGAGTCACAATTGGTCTTAGCAGCTTGTGTCTAACATGTCTTCAGTGACATGGTTCTTTAGAAAATAAAATATTATTATTCCTTCACATACAGGTTTTGATACCTCTTGCTTCTCTCGGCAAACATACAGGGATTGCTTCCACTTGCTACGATAAAGAAAAAACAATTTAAAAACGGAGTTATTGATACTCACACTACAGCGTCCAATTCAAAAGCGCCCCGAAGTGCATTGTACAGTCCTTTCTTGGTGTTCACGGCCACCAATGCGGGATATCCATAACCACCGACACCGACTGCCTTCTCTAGTGCTGGTTGCTTACCGGCTGCTGCCCAAAGATAACTGCGAACAACAATGTAGCACGTCAAGGCCTGGCTTATACCCATTAATCGGAGAAAAAAAGCAATGACAAGCAATCAGAAGGATGCGTCTTCGACATACAGTGGAATAAACTTTGAAGATACCTGTAGGCACTTCTCTTGAACTTTTCTGCAACAGTCAGCAGAGTGTCTAGATATTTCTTGCGGCCCGCGGCAGTAGAATCGAGAATGTCGGGCAAGAATGTCACGAAACATATGGCAGCTGAGGAACACTTCTTGTCCAAGACATCCTGCTCGGCATCATCAAGGGTAGAACCAGATATGTGACTCAGATCGGAGGAAAAAAAACTGCAGCACCAACAGCACAAAGATATAACTCCTGATGAAAGACGATAACAAAGAAATTTTGTCTCACCTGTCCTGTAAGCTCCACAACCTCTGGAGTAGCAACATCGAGTTGTCTGAGAGCGAAGGACTCAATCTCTGATGCCACTCTGCCGCCCTCATAAGGTGAAGGGTTTGACTTATCGACTCCAAAGACGAGGATGGTCGGGAATCCTTTCACGCCATACTTGCCCATCAAACCCTGCCACATCGTATTATTGTAAGAAGACTTCGGCAAACACAAAAACAGGAATCTGGACCCCCGTAGATCCTTATGCGACAGAAAATCCATAGCTGATAAGCCAGAATTGTTATTTGCACACCTTCTCAGCATCGCAGTCAACTTGACCCATTTTGACCTTGCCTTTCAAGATTTTAGCAGCTGTTTTCCATTCAGGAGCCAATTTCTTGCAATGTCCACACCTGAATCCATCCTCACAATCCGCAACACTTTAATCACTAGGCGTCTGATGGACGTCGGGATAGGTAAAACGTTTCCAAAAACAACTGATCTCAGCTGTCAGTGACTTCTAATGATCGGCTTCAGAAATACTAGATTCATTATTAACCACGAAATGTAGCTCGCTTCATTTAAGTCAAATTACCCAAAGCAACGGGAAATAAAGGGCATGGGATGTGCCTTTGTATCTTTACCATGGCGCGTAGAACTCGACCAGCCAAAGATCAGTACTTTGTAGTACCAAGTCGTCAAAGTTCTTAGATGTAAGCTCTACTGACGTGGCCTTCTCCTCACTCTTCTTGCTTCCACCGTTGGACTTTCCTAGTCTTGCTTGAGCGAGGGTTTTGACCTGTCACCAACATGCTTGGCAGACTTCAGCAATTATCAAATCTTCAAATGAAAACAGCACATATTAACTACAGCACCAGAGAAATATCATGAACGTGTGCCGCTATGTCTCCTGTATACATTTGGAAAAATACAGGAAACGTAAACCCAACACTAGCGACACTGTCCAATTCAAGGTATAACTCTCATGTTCCAGTGAAAGCCCTTTGAAAGCTCAACCAACCAATTGTTAAGAAATTCATTATTAATGACTAAACTTCCCTCTGTGATCACCCATGAGAACTTTAGCCCTTTCAAAAACCAGATAAGTTTGGCAGAGAGAGGGATTTTACCTGCTGGAGAGCATAGTCAACAATGCCTTTAACTTCACGAGGACCTTGGTAGTCCACAGGTGACTTGCCAACCCCAAAAACCTTAATTGTGGGGAATCCCTTAATTCCATACTCCTGAGACCACACAAAAAAAAAGGATTCAATCTAGCGTTACTAGCTCCAATAAAGTAAGTTGACTCCGTGGTGCATCGCATACCAAGGACCTGAAAGAAGATTACAATTTTGACTCCACCTGTGCAAGAGACTTGTGAGCATCTGCATCGAGAGCGGCAACTGTGACGATTCCCTTCAGAGCAGTGGCTGCCTTCTCCCACGCAGGGGCTAGAGATTTACAGTGTCCGCACCATGGGGCGAAGAACTCCACCAAAACTACTCCATCTGCACCTAGAACCTGCATTGTCGAAGATATTTGTGATCAGGCTATCGGACTTCTAGAAATGCTCTGTCCACCAATCACAGGTGGGCAAAATCGTTTCAAATTTAAACAGCTTACACAATCACATTCCTTGGACACTGATCAGTCGGACTAGCTACACAATTGATCAACTGATGCTGAAGGATCCAGTATTCGTGATGCATAGAAAGTCTGAGTAATGTCAAAACCTCACCGCCGACAATGTCCTGATTACTTCGTGAGAGGGAACACGTGTTCATGTTGATGAGTTTAGAGAAAAATTGGTAGAAAAGGTCTTTTACGGATGGTTCGGCAGCACTACGAGAGGATATAAAAACTCGGAATAATCTCCGCTTTTATGATTCCAATGCACTTTCTCTGATCGCACTCCCAACTTCGACACACAATCGACGCAATGCCCAACACAGAGAACCGAAACAGAGCATAAATATAAACCAAAACCAAAAGATGCACAAGCACAACAATATCTCTTCACACAGGAAATACACACCACAACCAATGCCCACAAGAATGAGTAATCTGCAGAAAACTACACCGACACAAATCGACACGAAAGCAGGTCTTGCAAAAAATACCTTCGACTTAAAATTTGCCGGAGAAAGTTGAACGACATCAGACGACGGACCGTACAATCCAAGGGCCGCAATGCTGCATTGCAGAACCACGAGCAAGAGCAGAGAACAGCGCGGTCCCCACGGCCCCATCATTCTCCTCCTCTTCCTGCACTTCCTCGAGACCGGCCCACTAAAACCCAAAAAGTCCGCGTTACCGACCCGAGTAAAGTGACCACGCACACGAAACCGACCTCCCCGAACTCAAAAAGAAACTCTCAGCTACTAAGAAGCTGATTTCCTCGGATCGGGCACGACAATCTGTCCAGCTACGATCAGATTCAGAATAGCGCACGGAAGCAGCTAAAGCGCAGCAAATCTTGCGTTCTTTGCCCCTGCGACAAAATGAAAGAGGCCTTCAGAAGGAAGTTTAAGAGCGGACGAAGAATTCTAGCCCGCTGTCTGGACGACTCTGACACGGCTGCCACTGAGACGGGTCGTGCCCAATGACGGGGCGCCCGGTCAGCACGAACAGGTCAGTTGGCGGCACGGGCCGCGCTTCATGGAGGCAGAGCATGGTTCGTGATGTGTCGTAGCCAATCGGATGGCCCCAAGTCGGACTGGCTCCATCGCCGGCCGGCTCTGCTTCCTCTTGCCAGGTCTGCGGTCTCCAACTGAGCAGCGCCAATGTGAGAGGCTAAACCCTAGACCCTCGTTCTTATCCTCGGTTTCTGACATCGGCTCTGCTTCCTTGTTGTAGAATCTTTGGTCAATTTGTCGTCGGGACACCCCATGAGTTGAAAATTGTTTATCAGCTCCATAGAAGGTCATGCTTGTTTTCGCGTGTTGTTCGCTTCTCAAATATGTATCTATTATGATTCTTGTCGAGAAGCAGCATAAGCTTTTCAGCTCATCTAATCTGTATTTATATCACTACTCTCATTAATTTTCGGTTTTTTTGCCTTAGAAATGTATCTTATGAACATAACTGTCCATTGAAAATATTCATTTCTTGTTATTTACAATGTTAGACTTCAATGTATCATTTAAGTCTATCATGATCTATTGTATTGATATCACTTTAACATGTTGTGTGTACTAATCTAAGTAAAGTGTTTTCGTGATTGTAATGAATAGGGGCTAGAACTAGATACACCAAATATTTCAGATGATTACCCCTCAGTATGCTTCTATTGTTTACAGATGCAAGGTGTTGTAATACCTATGCCTAGCGATGTATTTCATGAATTTATTTTCTTCTCTTCTATGTTTGTTATCTAGACATTATATTACGAATTATGAGTATTCGAACGTCAATGTCTACAAATATTTGTAATTGAATATCTCAGAAAATTAATTTAAAATATTTAACTTGTCGATGTTTAATTTCAAATACGTATGATTTAAAAGTTTTAAAGATATATATTAGCTTGAGAATCATTATATAATTTCATAAAACTCCAATTCATAAGAAAAATATTCAAAAAAATCAAATTTATCTGAAAAAAATATGTAATATTTAATAATGAATGTTTATTTACTTCACAACATTAAATTTCATACAAAATAATATGAAATAATATTTTTACATTGAAGTCAAAAACCTTTTTTAACATTAATTATATGTCATCTGAGATTCTAAAATTATATGAAGAAGTGTGGTATTAGGCTTATTATTATGCTTTTGCGTCCTAAACACTTCTAAGATTTCCTGAAACACAAAAACCCGAATATTTTTTTCCTCAATTATTGTTTCTTACATTTTCAAGTTCAAACTTGCATCTATCATAATTGACTAGGTTAATATTCCAATTATAAAAGTCATCCAAACCTGATATTGAAAGTAATCAACCTGAAATTCCATATATTTTGCATAGTTGCTAAGATAAAAAAAAATTAGAAAGATTATTCATTTTTCCAAAATAGAGGGTATGTTTGAAAACTTGCTTATATTTTGAAACAAATGTAGTCTCCGTGATTATCCAATTCAATCAAGAAATTCAAATGGATTAGATCAATCGTGTACTCACCAAAAAAGCAAAGAAACTGCTATACTTTTTTTATCTATTAGAAGTACATGTTTTTAGTTGGATGATTTCACCACTCACTACTGCCACAGCATAATATGATTGATGATCAATTTTGTAGAAAGTCAAAATATAAAGATTCTTAAAGATCATTTATATCTTTATTTATATCATTATGTACATTTGACATAAACATTTGGTCCTTCACCCTAGTATAGTATCGTGAGTGATAATTAGCCCAAATTGAGTATAATAAGCCGCTCCCTAAACAAAACATAATCCGAAGATATTACGTTGTTGTTATGAACAAAACTCAATGTCATACTACAACGGACAGATTATCGGTTGATCGGGTCTTCCCTTCTATTTTAGTGTCAATATATCCTCTTTCGAGGGGCCGATAGATCACTGAAGAACCAATAACACAAGGTGACGAAATTGACGAATTATAGCATGGGAAGACAAAAATTACTTATAGCCAGTTGCAGTTTGGATGGACACCTCCATTTACAATGGAATAATTTACTGTAGACGAATGACATCGAAAACCGATGTACTGTACATCTTGCTTTTTTCTCATTTCTGTCAGCAGCTCGCTTGAATCTCACCCAATTCAAACTGCTTGACTTCATCAAGGTGACCTGTAAAGTAGAGTGACAAACATTCTTTGCTGAAGGACGAAACTCAAATAGTATTTGCCTCTCACAGCGGCATAGACCTCTCGTCCTAGCTGAGGTGTGCTCCTCTCCATAAATCTCTAAGGATATTGGATAGAAAAGGAAAAAGAGTTCCATCATCCTTTGAGAGCCGAGAGACAGAAACGTAAATTTAGCCCATAACATAAAGTACATTGCCCAGAGTGAACGCCTTGAAACTCTACTGAGTATGAGAAACCTCCGTGCTCTGGAGTGCAACTACAACCTACCTATTTCATCATTTCTGGACCTAGCAAATTCGGAGTTGTCAAGTCAATGCACCTGAAAACTAGTATCTCTTTCAAACAGATTGTACTGTTGAATATGATCAAGGGTCAGTACTGAGTATGACAATACTCCTATTTTGCAGATACAGTGGATCCCTGTATGATGACTAAAGCTCATTATTTTTTTTAACAACTGGGCTCGGGAGGTGTGCACGGCTATGAACCTACAACGTGATGTCTGAACCTGCTAGGTGATCTATAGAACGAGCGCGGAACTTGCATCTGACGGCAGTTCGGTCGACCTATTGCACTGATGATCCTAAAGAATTACAACTAAGGGGAAATAGGGCTAGGGAACCGAGAACCGTTTTGTTACACCCAATAAGTTCCATCCTGCAAGGAGAGAATTTAATATTTTCCTCTAACTATCAAAGAAATCAACCTACAAATCCTCACTTCTATATCACAGTCTGCCTCCACCTACTATAATACACGCAGTACCATGTTTTAGGATAAGAGACTCAAGAACTGGGTCCAACTGAACTACAATCAGAAAGAACAAACTTTACAGAATTGAACTATCTTATCTGCTCCCTTGAAGTCAAAACCTCGGCCAGCTGTTGATACAAGACAAATTGCTCTTCCGCTGATAGGTGTCCCAAAATCTGTAAGAAACCGTCGTTATCAGTAATCGAAATATCCTGAAGTGAAAGGTATAACTCACTAGTGTTGGCCTGTCACAACCAGAAGACCATAGACCACATGTCCTGGTAGAACGGTGATAGTAGAAACAGACTGCAAAGAAAAAGACTAACTAGGGAAAGATAGTAGGATTTCCCGACACAAAAGAAGTTTGTTCGGAGCTTTCCTAAGTCGACCAGTGTCAGAAAAACTCGACAAAGGACTCTTAAGAACGGAAGAGCATAATATATTCGCCAGTACATCAACTGGAAGGGGCTTAGCATGCAATGAACGGTGTAGTACTAAACTGCGAGATGCAACCGCAACCGCTTATAAAAACCTCGTCAGCAGACACGGCATATACTTGGCATAAATCATAGAAAGCATGACAAAATGATATATTGACAAGATCATCGCACTAGCGGAACAAACATGGTTTGACTAAAACCAGTGTAATGCGTGGCAATTAAATAGCAGAGAAGTAGAATGAAGTGATAAGGAAAAGGGTGGTCACACCTGTGTAAGTAATGTGTCAACTGAGTACGTTCGAGGTGCAATGAATGATTGATGATACGTGTAAGAAAATACGGCCATTACCATCTACAAAAGGAAATGATAACAATGTCAGTTCAGTAACCTTCGGTATCAACAAAGAATAGCATCATGATCCACACTTAGGAGTCAACTACTTTGTACTGGTCAAATTGTGGAAAGATGAAGTTAGGAAAAGTGTTCGCGCCTACCTGGCAATCCATTCGATCAGTGATACCTCCGTGACCTGGGATACTATCCCCAAAGTCCTGCATAGTCCGAACGGTCAAGATGAGTGACTCCTTTCTGTTAGGTGTAATCCAACATGAGAGATCTGAAGATCGGTCAAGTGCAAACCTACTGAAGAGAGTGAACCCTAGAAACCTACAACCGCGACCATAGCAGCAAGTTTCTTAGCAAGTCCTGATCGCAATATGCTTGCAACATAAAGTATTTAAATATGGAATTTGTAGACCCACTTGTGTATACTGCTTTGCAAGTGGGATAAGGAACGGTAATTTAATTGGAGATGGGAAAAATCTTTCACTGAGAGACAAGGACTAGATTAAGAATCTTGGTTGTAAAAGTCTTAAGACAATTCACATTTCCTGCTGTAATTAAAGGGTTTAGATGGGTGTAGGCCCTTAAAAATGCCCAGTTACAATGATTCAGCCCATATAAATGAGAGGGCAAAACATGTGAGTAGAAGCTGCAGTAATTTCTGAAGCCTCAATATATCATTCTATGGAGAACAGTTCTTCCTTTTGGGTGAAAAAAAAAATGCAGCAATAATTACGGCTTTGAAAGATCAGATTAGCAACATGAGCCTGCGGCTCACACCATATCATGACAGCTCTATTTCTTCAATCTCCAATAGAACTAGGCCAGAATGATTTCCAGAATCCTATAACAAACCCCACCCAAGCTGAACATGTGATTCATTTTTCAATACAGGAAATATACACAAAACACATACCTTAATTTTGAAGGCACGTTTAAAACCACTAGCAAAAAAGCCTCCGAAAGGAGCAATGCTTGATGCAAAAAGCCCTAGAGCCATCGCATGCTTCTGAACAGGCATGATACCCACTTCATTCCAAGGCATCGGAACCTATGTCAACATGGCCAAGCATAAATTAGACTAGTTCCTGGAAGTGGAACTATTCATTAAGCTCAAGTGAATTTTTTAACGCCTTCTAGATTTTGAGGGCAAAGCCAAGTAATGTACCCAGGCAGATATCCTGTCCAGTGAGTAATAGTTTGGTTTGAACATAGGACCGGGATCACAATACAGCCATCCGGTGGAGAGGTCCTGCACATGCACAGAAGTCCTAGTGTGTCAGGTTCGTGCGAAAAGTGCATAAGACTAAAGCTGACGAAGACTCTCTGTTTGTCAACCTCTCCTCTGCAGACATAATGATGTGACCTTATGCTACATTCACAAGTCTTAACCTTCCGATTGAATGACTAATATGGCAAAAGGCGAAACGACCACTATGACGAAACGGAATCCAATGGAGCTTGAAAGAAATATTAAATCCGAAACGCATTACCTTCCGCGGACAGGTCAACCACGTAAAGCTGCCCATGAAATACGCCAGCTGGTCAAGAAATAAGCGTTTTCAGGTCAACCCGCGAAACAATGGTTGTTTAGTAAAAGTATAAGATAACCCCAACGCTTCGTTTGAACGATGAAACTTGTTACTTCTGATGTATACATAGCGAACCCAAGTGCAAGTACCTTGAAAACGTGAAATTAACAGACTGCGCAAATTTATTTGGGAAAACAATACAGAGAACCCCGTTCCTGTCTTTAAGCCTTATGGGTCAGTAACTACAAAGTTCGAAAATAACAAAGTTTAAGGTTTGATATTAGAACCTGACCTCAAGGGACTATCATCAAGGCTGGGGACTAGACACACATAGTCCAGAATGTAGTCAGTGATCATAGTGGGACCAAACAGATTTGAAGGATTTTTACATACAGTTTTGGCTATTTTCAAGCTTATCAGTTAGAAAATTTATCAACGTAACATTCTGAAAACTATATCATGAACAGACCATGGGGCGGAAAAGAAAAAAACCAGAAAGCCAGAGAGGACAGTTGTAACGGAAGCTCCAATAAATCCCTCCCATGTCTTCTTTGGAGATAACTTGATAAGAGGTGTCCGACCGAAATAGAACCCGAAAAAATAGGCTGCGATATCATTTATAACTATCAGAGAGCAGGGCAACAAGAACCTGCAGTAAGGCAACAGTAAAACGTATAAATACTCGTCCTCATATGTTTTCAGGACCCAAGATATTCAAATAAGGAACGTAGTATACTATTCCCCTTTGAACTTTTTTGATCCTTACAAACTAAGATATGTCCGGAACAAATCCACACCGAGTAAGGTGCATATGGTGTGAAAACAAATGCTCATGTCTGAAAGTCGAATCCAGCATAATGGCTAACGACCAAGTACATAGAATTCTGAATGTTAAGTATGCAGCAAAAATCATATTTCCTAAGAAAGACAAGGAGACTGGTGTAAGTACCAAATAATGCCTTCAAATATATTTGCCACCGTAAATGATGACTGGGCAAATACAACAAATAAGATCATGTGGGTCCACGCGTATTGCCCAAATTGGGATTGGTACATCCCTTTTTTCAGCGTCAAAATGAACCAAACAAACCCTGAAAACAAACGATAAGGTCTCTCAGTAACATGCGACCAACATAAATATAAGAAAGCAATCAACCCTCTCTTTCACTGATTTTTTCACTATTGACCTCTCTCCACTGCAAATACGTACGTCTACAAATCAACAGACAAACGCTTCGCATTTGTCTGTTGATTGACTAGACCAAGGAGGTAGCTGAAAGATATCATAGGACAAACAGGTAAAAAACTCTCTACTGCACTGAAGAGATTCACACCACCATCCTCATACAAAGATCTTCAGAAAGTACCCAAGATGGAAAAGGAAACCTTGAAACCCATATGTTGCACAGACGTATGCATCCTGAAGGAAGCAACAGACGCAAGCTACGAAGCTTCTAAACAATTAATCCGGACTAAGCTCAACTCCTGAAACTTCATGAGAACTTCGAGATTGTGTAATGAAAGATCCACCAGAAAACATACAAAGACTGCCGCAATAAAACTTCGTTTAAGTGTCAGTATGACCAAAGAACCGTTGCGAAAAATGAGCGAGCATTCTTATACTAGAAAATGTCCTATATACATGATACTCTGCATCTATTTCCCGAAGTATCTGCTAACTTAATGGGCGATACGTTTGTAAAGCCCTCGGTAAATTTGCAAGCCAACTTCCAGATTACTCTTACCACTCTGGTTCTGGAACAAGGAGTCAGAAGTGTAGATTGTGCTATCTTTTCTCATTCATTCTGTTATTACGTCAATCATATTGCTCTTCTATTGCTACAGCACGACCTTCTCAAATTAGATCTAGAATACGAAGCCAAAAATAAGTTTCAGTCTTTGAGGTCTCCTTCACATCTAGATTGCTCAAAAGAAAGAGCTATATATGGTGAAGTTTGACAGGATAAAGGTCAATACCTGCAATATACATAAAGTAGCAAATAATCATGTGATACTGTATCAAGCCACTGAAGATGAGTAGAAGCATTTTGTCTGAGGAAATGGTCTTCACTAACTGCTTGCTCAAAAAGCGTCCATATACGTACACCATGGCTGTGATGAAGAAAAACCTGCGGCATAAGACAACCTCTATAATTTTAAATACAGACATAATTTTGACATCCTATCATATGAACCAACCGATTACTTTGAAAATTGCAGTATGATCTTCTCAAAATCATTGACAACCCACAATAGCTAAGGCCAAACCAAAACAAAAATATAAAACAAAAACAATACTCTAAAAGACCTGAAACCACTTCCCACAGCTGTACACGAACTTCTTGATAAACATAATAAATTTTCTAGGGTCAAATTGAAGAAGATCATGCAAAATTGACATTCACTTCCAGGCGTTCTACTCAACTCGACACTCACCAGTTTAAAAGGCGGAATCCAGGAACATTCTTCCCTCTTTGAGCTGCCCTTGCGAGAGTGAAAAGTTCTTGAGCCATAAATAACTGGATAACCACTATCATAGCCCAAATGTACAGATGCCCCATATAAACGATCCCGACAAATCCTCCGATCATCCAAACTGACGAAAGTACACGAGTCTTCATACTCTTATACTTATTTTGATCGTTAACAAGTAAATTCGTGTCTCCATTGGCTTTCGCTGAATCGTGTGAAGTCTGCTCAGCGAAAAATCACCAATTAAAATTGCGATGAGGACTAACAGGGATAACGAAATCAGAGACGGTTAAGATCGACGCATTAAAGTTTGAATTGTCCACGGTACAGTCTGGAGAGAGGTGTCCCTCCAGAGATCACTGGCATTCGGGAAGAATAGAAGTGCCTACTTGGAGGGTGCGAGGGATGTGTAAGAGGTGGCATACACAGGGGGAGGTTTCTGAATTATTCACTAAACATTTGAGGTATGGTGATAAAAAGAGGAAAAATGCGAGCCTGTACAGAGCAGGAAAAAGACATGTAGTATAAAGGATGTGTTGAGATCGATAAAATATGATGACTGCGGTGAAGATTTGCTGAGACAAATGCGTCGGGAAGAATTTTTCCCGTAGAAGGGACATAAGACCTTCGACTTACTGACACAACCAAAATTGGTAGAGAACTTCTGCGATTAAGTGTCGGAAAAAGACCATTTGAAGTTACGAAGTGTGGTATAACGAAAACAGGGAATTTTGGGCTGAGTTCGAGAATCCAGAGAAGAGGTAACAAAAAGTCTAGGAGGAGCCCAAAAGAGTTCGAAGAAGTTCGTTAATTTTAGGAAAAACGGCCAACAGAACAGTGCAAGGACAATGGAAAAGAGCACAATGGAGCTCAGACTCACCCGATTTTCTTCAGTGCTCCGCTTCCTCGACCGATGTTTGGGTACATGCAAGTTCGGAGATAGAGGAGGAGAAGGACCATTCCATTTCTCTTTCTGCATCTTGGCTTGCTACTCTTTCAAAACACGGAATACGCAGTGGCCTACACTGCATCAGCAAACATGCTACTGCGATTCAATTCGTTGCGCACACCTTCGCCACCAGTTCCTGACCTCCTAGCTCTTCTTATCACCGCGCCTCGGCACCAGAGGCTATCCAAGCCACGTCCAGGCATGCATCACCAGCAGATTGACCTAAACCGATCGCAATGCGGATATCATCGTCCTTGCTCTACACAAATCCACAAAGCCAAGGCTCAAAAAATCAAAGACTCGTCCGATGACCAGAAAACTTCCCCAGAGGCTCTATTCCCACTCTAATTGATTCGATTCTTGAAACCGGACCCCGCCCTCCCCTCCCCTTCCCACTCCCCCGCAAACCGTCATTGACTCATCCATCGAACCAACAAGACTCGCCGAGCGCGCATTTGAGCTTACGTTGGTAGTGGAGGTTGCTAATGCGCAAGAGGTCGATCCAGAAACTGGCAGCCGATCGAAGTCACCGCGCACGCCCGAGCAGCCCATCGGTGTACTTGTGCGCTCCAACCTTTAAGCTTCCGCATTCTGCACGACGCATTCGCTATACCTGTCGCATTTTCCCAGACGCATGAGCCCCGACGCTTGCCGCATCTCGACGTCTCGTCCGATGTCCACGACGCATTCGCCAGCACCGTCGCCTTTTCTCAGACGCAGCAGGCCCCGGAGCTGCCGCATTTGCAACGCTCCCCCAATGAACACCATGTCCCCATTGTCGCCCTCCTGCACCGTTGAGTTCCTTCTCGCCTTCGCGTGACACGTCAGCATGTTGTGGCGCGGCACTCGATGGCAACTCCACATTTCCGGTGTCCCACCTTTTGTAAATAGCGGCACCGTTGGCTGCCGCTATCGGTATCTTTTCTTCTGATCACAGGGGACTTTGTCACAAAGATATTGACGTGGGAAGAGCACCGCAAGTAATGTAAAAAAAAAATTCCAGACAACAAATTTTCCACTACTGAACTAACCGAAGGCACACACATTTACGCCTTACATTGGAGAATAGGAGGGCTTATTTTTCTCCTGATAGAGAAACGTACATCGAAATCTACTTCTCTACTTCAATGAAATTGTAGCCTTCATGACGTTACATCACTGGTTGTAGATATCTGCGGGCACTGTGGAAAAAATATCTGTTAACTGAAATACGGGAAATTGAATATCAAAAGTCTCCACGGGAAGAGTCTTGAGTCTTTCCGAATATAAAGAAGTGTACATGAAGTCAACAGATTTCGACCTCCGAATCCCTCGAAATGCACGTCAAATAATAATCTGACGAGAGAGAAGGACATTTCTGTGGCCATATTATACCTCTTCGAAAAGCTGCGGAATCTGAACCGGACACAGTCCGGCCGAATTACAGTTCGTGGTGAACGACGTACGTCGAGGTCAACATCAAGTCACCCCGGTCGCTATCGCTCGTGGAAAAATATCCTCCTCCTCCCCGAGACACGTCAATAACTTAAGAACGTGATCCGAGACGAGTCGGCAGAGTAGAAGCCTCCCTGAGCTCCCTAAAACCGCGATGATCCGGTCACCTCAGAAGTCGACGAAAGCATTAAACCGGTTAGAACTTCTAAAGTACAACAAAACGTGAGGTTAGAAATATTTAAGTGAAATGATGGGACGACCCCACCTAAAGTTAAAGTGCAAGAATTCATACCGGTCTTGGGAGTCAGTAGAACCTCTGCATGAGCGGAGAGTCCCTCATAAACGGCGCTCTCAGTAGGAAGAAAAGTAATCTCTGCCCTGGAAAACGTTAGCCCGAGCACATTAAAGACAGGTCCACGCGTCAACGACCTTTTCGCATGAGAATTCCACGAATCAGTGCTTTCGCGGTATACAACCGGAAACCGGGAGATTCACCGATGTCCGAGCATCTTGACAGTGGAGGGCCACTGCTTCACTAGTTAACTTGCGGCAAGATCCCTCGACAACTCTTGCCAGTTGGCAGAGCAGCTTCTGAGCCGTCGATGGAGGTCCAGCCTTCCTATGGAATCGGCAAGTACGGACAAATTGGCAGGGGTTGAAAATTAGAACCCGCAAAGCACCGAAGTATTGTTGCTACAAGGAATATGGAGATATCCTCTTGAATTTTAGTTTTATTTTCAGGTTTGTGATGTGAAAAAAAGTAAGATATTAACAGAATTACTCTCGAATATCCTATCAAGACTGACGTTGGCTTAACGAATGGAGGAAAAGTGTGGATACTCCCAAATAAGATCCGACTAATACAAGTTGTATAGAAAAAATGTTTAGTATGAAAAAGGATAAGGAAATATCATATGACATATTATAGTAATATCTCTTATATTTTTTCAAAAATAAATCAAATTTAATGCCTATTAGTTTATATAAGTTCAGATAATGAAATAATTTGAACTTTCTATATTCCCTTACACTTGAAATTCAAAGGTACTATACTAGACTACCTATCAATATAAAGAATGTGCCAACAATATTTACAATAGTAACATGGTAATGGAAACCGAGTGTGGAGTTGATTTGCTTGCAATACTTGAAAGTCAAATGCAATTTCTAGTGAGAATATTTTAAACTACTAGACTCATAATGCAATGAGGAAGTCCTATGTTTCTGATCTACATTTGTGAATTTCTTTAGCAGGTGAGGTATATCCCCTTGCTAGAGAAGACGAGTGAAATCACAACGAAGAAAGTCTTGTTTTGCAAGTCATCCCCGTGAGAATTCGGCGTCGGAATACATACCGAACTCTTTTAGCGTCTTTCACATCGATAGGGTCAAGCCTCATTTACATAAAGTGATATTTTAACGAGACGTCATGTATACAATGTCTTATATTAAAGAATATGGATTTGGTAAAATTGAGTGTTCTTTAACATATCTACAGGCATATTTGTAAAAACATGATCTCTAAAATTACAATACATCTCATTATCACTTTACATTTAAATTATGTTACTTTTATTTGTATAATTTTTCTCCATTTCAAATTTGCATTTACTTATCATCATATGTTATGATTCATTCGAATTTCAAAAATTAAATTGAATTTTACATTATATCAATGTACAGAATTTGCAATTTTAATGTGACATATGATCATAGCTGTTTTTCAAATGCGCTACGGTAAAGAGAAAGGTAGCCGTATATTTTTTTCATAAACATTAGTATGCTTAGACTTACAAATATTTCAGCCTATCTACATATAATATTTTGATCTGCAATTTACAATAGGATGTACCCTGCTATCAAGTTTTTTAGTTATTTTAACATTCTGGAAAAATCTGTTGAATATATTTCATCGCATGTTTACAGTAATTGTTTGCATTCGTGAATTTCCTTGTTTCTGTTTCGGAACATTCAAAAACTACCGATACAGATAGTTGTCAATTGGTCGCAATCGTACTAAAAAACCACTGTCACAATCATTTCAATCTTTGTTGTTAAAACATACGTAGAAGCTAACATCAGAAATTTTGCCATATAAATTCCGCGAATTATTCTTTTTCATTTATGATAAAGGAAAAAAGCACATATGATACTGTGATGAAGGAAATAGACCTTTTCCATCGTCACTATATACACAGTCAAATTTTCATGAGATTTGTCAAAATGAAAACTACACAGCCAAGAAAACCATGAATAATCGAAGTGTGAAAAAATAAGATTTTAATTGATGAATTCTACTGAGAAGTTACAATCGATGATAAAACACAAAACGAGGCACAAAAATTACTTTACATCATCTATACTGTGATAAGACAGATACATAGTGGAATTCTAATTACATTCTGGTGCACATGAATACATCTAAATATGTGGCTCATCTCCAAAACTACTCAAAGGCAAATCTTCTTTTTCATGATTGCCTTTGTTGACTCTTTCGGTATTCACTTCAAAAGGTTTGTAAATCATAAGCAAGTGAGCTCTTCCTCTTGGGTTTGAGGCCAGCGTTGAGTGTGGGTTTTCCACCATATCCAGCCAGACATCCACGGCTACCCCCGGTTTCATCTGCCAACAGCCCGACATCAGACACATAAACTCAAGTGTGCCAAGAATTTCAAAATTTTGCTGCCTATTTATGGCTACAACAATCCCTTCTGAATAATGCAAAGAATTTGATTGATATGAAAATCAGGATTGCAGCTTAGAAATGAACGAAAGAGCGTAACGTGAGAATATACCTGCGAGAGGGGATATTCAGCCGACCCTATGTATTGAGCCTTCTCGATTGACTCCTCATCCATCAAACGAACTGTCAGTGTTTGGGCCTGTTGGTCTTCAACCTTGAAAACGTAGGAAAACATTCAATATTGAAGTAAGTACAATCTCAAATTCCTCCGTGATGCTGGATTTTGAATCTCAAGAGTAACGAAAATGCTAATGGCCAAGTGCATACCTCAAGGATAAACCCTTCATTCCAAACTGCATGCTTCTTGTTGTTCTTGGTGCTGCTGCGCTTTATCTTGTCGGCTTTCTGCCTGACGTAAAACATGACGAAAGGATCGGACTTGCCAATAACATCTGTCTTCATTATATCGTTTACCTCCACAAGGGTCACGTCAAGTTCACCAACAGGCCGTAAGTCCAAATAGCTGCACAAACGAACATTTGATACGAATTGAATTTAATACCTACTCTTCAGTGCAATAAGAAAAGAAATTAGATATGGGTTCTGTAAATCACTAACGAAGTTGATCATATGCTAAGAGTCTGTCCAATCAAATTTACACTCTGCGGTGATCTTAACTACGATCAGGGCCAAAAAATGATGTTTATAGACCTGAAGTCTCCCTTGGCAATTGGAACCACAATGCGGCATGGCCAGACCATCGTATCTAGCAGAGCCGATCTGATAGAATCCTGGACACAAGAAAACCAGCCAACGATGATCAAAGCTGCAATGATAATCACAAATATCAGAAGACATCGCTTTGCGTAATCTCTTTCGAAGCTTGGAAGCTCTCACTCTCCCGCATACACGATATATGTTGTTACAATTTGTTGTTCTGAAAGATTAAAAAAAACTTGCTCATATATGAAGATGAAAAATCTAAAGACACATACTCTTCATGTTTCCCGAACACTTACATCAATCAGCTTTTCGACCCCCGGCAGAGCTCCGATGTCCCCTCCCAGGAACTTGAGATTAAAATCTAGGTCTGGCTGCGCAGATTATGTCCACAATCAATATTTTTGCCAGCAAGTTAGAAAAAATGAATATACATCTATAGCAAAAGACAATATATCACAATGAGCGACTGTTCTATAAGCGAGATTACTGTCGTACTTACAGCTTCAGAAAAGGATAATAGAACTGCACCAAAACCAGGAACCTCGTTTAAGAGAGGTTTCAAAATGAATTTCAGTATTCCGCTCACGTGGAGATCCTTGACCTGCAAACGTCCCACATTGTCTTAATAACTAATTGTAGAAGAGACTAATAAAGCTTACAGATACGTATTCAATCTTTTCATTGACAGGAAGTTTAAGAGGTTTTCGAACGACCCTAACGTGTGATACAGAGAGAGCTCACCAGGACAGTCATTCTCAACAGAAACTTCAAATGCTACTGTGCGTTGAAGCGTTGATTGTGTACAGGCAGATTTGTATTTACAGGACAGAGTGTACCTTCACTTCGAAATCAGGTCCAGGTGTGTGAATCTTCAGCACAAGGTTCTCTTTCTCCAGATCCCATTGAAATTGAGTTTCAATAACACATTCATCAAGAGCTCCTTCAGTGATCTTTATACCTGTATTTACAAGGCATGGGCTTAACAATCTTCCTTGAGAGTTCCCTTCGTCAGTTAGACCATCACTATCACACGTTTGAGTAATTCGCCATATGTTATTTAAAATCTCCTCCTCACAAAGGAACTATATTCAGTGGGGCAGTCGACTTAAGGACTAATATTACGTATCGTGACTAACAAGCCATTTTGATGAACAATCCACTACGCCAAATGAATTTCATCTGCCAAACTTCAGGAGCAGTAAATTACCATCAAATCGAGGTGCTCGGTTTCCAAGTGTAAGATTCTTCAGTTTCAGCTTCTCAATTATTCCAAAGGCATATTGTTCCAAAACAGGCTCCACTTGTTCCCTCAGAATTCCAGAAACTGCCTGCAGAACAACGGAAGATCCAGAGCTGGAATAGTTCGGTTATAAATTCACTGGCTGATGCCTACCTACACTATAGACTAAAGTTGGGAACAGATACCGGCTATATCAGACTTCATTGCAGGAGTCACTGACCTTATCAAGGAACGGCCACACCTCTGCAAGCTCCTTGTTTAGCCATTCGACCTGAAGATCCGTGCAAATAAACCAGCTCTTCAGATACATTGATGAGATAATGGCACAGCATTGTCAACCGTTGGCATTTGTCCTTGAGGACTCATCAAAAGTGGGTTTACAAAGATATACTGAAACAATCCTCCAAGACAAAAATATGACACGAACCTTTTCAAATTCGCTGAATTTGACCCAATTCGGCTGATCGTCTTTCTGAATTATTCTCTTCACGTCGCCGGAAATTAGTTCCGACAACTGAGCTACCTGCAGAGCCTGTACACACACATTTCCGGAAAGAGATGTCATTTCTGATTTCGCATCTAGTGAACAGCTTGATGACGCGACGATTGATTTATCCAAATCGCTAACATTCAACAAATCGAACGGAGTATTCTCTAAGAAATATGGAATCGATGCTCTCCGTACATTGCTGACTCGACCGTGTCAATTAGAATACCATGAAATTATCATAAAGCGCTTCGAATGATGAGTGATTGAACAAGAATGATCATCCAGCACGAACTCAAAAGTAGACAAACCTTATGCCTGCGGACTGTAGAGCGATGGATCTGGAAAAGCTGGAAGGAAAACATGACTATCACGCCCAGACATCCTCCGAGCAAGAACTGGGACCAAGGCGTAAAGGTAGAAACCCAGAGCATCCCTGAAATAAAGAACGGCAAGAGAGCGGCCGAAGTTGCTAAAGGTACTCTTACACTAGCATACTTGAACACTTCCTTATTTAAAATGCCTGTATCATCCTGGGTCCGCCCCGTGGTGACAACTGAGGCGTTTCTACTCGCCATCTTCGTCGGCTGCTCAAAACCTTCACCCTCACTGCCCCAAACTCTGAACTCCTATGATCGCCACAGGGCTTTTGCTAAATATCTCCTACTCCGGCAAACCACTTCTGACCACTAGTGATCTCAAGACCTGGACTCAAGAGTCTGGAGAATAACGGGCCCCCTCTTCTGTGATCCCGAAGCCTTAATCGGGAATGCACTGCAGACATTCGGAAAACTGATTCAGATAACGTCGACAAAGCAATGTACATCAGAAAAATTAACCCAGCGCGGCAATTCTACACCACAACTGATACCTTCAGAAATTGATCAACACACGGGACTGCAGAAGACCAAACGAAACCTCTCGTCTAGAGCCAAGCTCAGCATGCAATGAAGTTCGGATGCATCTGGCAGACTGCCAAAACAAGAAGAAGAGCTCGTGACCCGCGTCCGGCATTGGCAATGTCAGAGCCCTCGTGCGATGAAAGGTCTTTCTCCGTTTCAGTGCAATGCGAGGTCACCCGGCCATTAATGATCGACAATCGCCCAAACCTCCCTTGCTCACCTGTCCAGATTTCAGACAAGCGCATCGACGTCGAAGCCGACCGCAATGTCCACTAGTCCCTCACCAGGCGCGGCGGGAGATGCCGAGCTAGACTCTGCGCTGACAGCCTACGAGAACAACATCCGCCCTTCGTAAAAAGCACCGAGGCATATATTGCAGCCTCAGATCCGCGGGATGATTTAGAGCCGGTAGCCACATTTGCGAAACGAGAGAGCGCTAGGAGGGGCGGGCCTGCAGCCTCTCGGGCGCTGCTGAGGGCGCAAAGGACGAGAAGAGAAGGTAGAAAGATGGCCGTGACGTGGCGATCTTACACGTGCACACTTGGCCGGACTACCAGGTGTCATGTGACTTGTCCCAGATCACCAGCATCATGCCACGACGGCGTCGTCGAACTCTTCAGTGCTGCTGACTTCTCAGTACTGCCGCAAAACGATAAGATCGGTCCACATCTGCGAATCGCGTGTACTGCCTCCATCCTCCCTCGCTCGCTCGCTGTGGACTTCGAGAACATGCACAGGGAGAAACAAAAAAAGACCATACTTTCAGATTACCGAGTTACTTTAATGCTCATTGGTTCCGTAATCGGACGATCTGAGCCTGGACTCCTCGCCTGGCTCCACGTGGTCGACTCGTGAATCCCTGAGCTGATGTGAACTCGTCGGAAATAGCTCTGACGATCGATCGTTCAGAGTAGGACGGAGGCAGCGCAGCGACGAGTGACGAGGACGTGAAAGGACCAGAGTGCCCGACGCATGGCTAGGAGAGGAGTCGCTCCGCTGACAGCCGATGGGGTGGGTCGGACGAGCCATTCGGAGCTTGTGTTGTCCGGTCACCGAGACTCCGAGTACGTACGGGAGGATCGTTCACCATTCTGGAGTCTGGAGCACAAGAGTGTTGGTCACGGTTCTTACATGTTCTGTGGGGTACTGTGATTGCTGAACGTGCCGTGAAATTTCGAGTTCACGACAAGGCTGTCCTTGCGTCGGTCTGGAGATCCTTTGACTTTCCTGATGTGAGGCAGATGACTGACAGACAGTATCATGGCCGCCTCTGTTCTATGTGGAGACCAGTATTGATCTTTAAAGTATCTTCCGATGTCAGGATGTCAGATTACCTATGATTCCTCGATGGCGGAAACGAATATTCATTAATTTTCCGCTTGCTACTCTGTCTCATTTGTTCTGATAAATTGATCAATCTCCGGTGCGAATGTTTTGCTAAGGTGTGTTTTGAGGCAATGGTTTACTACCTCTGACCCGTGGAGCATTTTGCCGACGAGGACGTCAGGTTCTACATGCAAGAGATTTCGTTTCCCGAGAGTCATGGTCAGAAGTTTACGAGCTGTTACAGTACTTCCTTACAAGCTGCAGCGTTAATTTAGGGCTAAGATGTCGGTACTTTGAGGAGAGCAATGGTCCACATTGCCCTTTATCTTGAACAAAATAAATAGGCAATTTTGTACGATCCAATTTATTGGTGTGCTCGGTTGCTGTCCAAAGATTGTAAACCAATCTTGGACAGCAACGTGCGGAGAGTCAATTTGGCAAAAAGGATATAAACTGATTTCTTAGACATTTCCTGTAATATACATCTCAATTGACCTCTTCACTCCATTTGGAGTTGGGATATCGCAGTTACTCCTTTACATATATACTTTCATAAACCTCGAAAAACTAGCCGCTCTTCTCTACTCTACTCCGAATTTTGAACACTTATTGGAGTCCATAAAAGGCAAGAGCTCCGACTGCAACTGCACCCGCAAGCACTCCCAAAACGACCGAAATAGGGGTTCCTCCACCTCCAATAGCACTTCCAGTTTCCTTGTCATACTCAGCAAAGCGCTTCTTGGATGCTTGGCACTGTGGACACTGGAAGGTCTCAGGCTGCAAACACAAGACACAACAAGTAAGCTCACACGAGGTTAATCAGCTGTCGAAACCTTCAAAAGATATATGAAACAATCATAAGGTTGCCTGATCTTCACCTGATCTTCGAACTTCTTGGCCAAGGTGTAGATATATCCACAATCCAGACAAACGTGGGTAGCACGGGCCTGAAATTAGACACACCGTGATGTTTAGAATTTGGAGTGAGATAGTGCACCATTTCTATTTCGCGGCTTCCATATCTTAATTCTTAGTAAGTATCTGATAAGAGAGCTGAAGCACAATAATTCCAAGACAGCACTACAGTCGTCATGAGGCCAACCTTTTGTGCGTCAGTGAGCCTTCGTCCGAAGCGAGGAGGTGCAGGTCGTTTAGGAAGTCTCTTCACATCGACTTCTATTCCCCTGAAGGAGTATCACGATAGAAACAGCTGGTCAGTAAGAGAGTGAGCAAAGTAGCTGTGAGAAATCATTTTAAATCACACGGCAACTGCTACTCGCCCATAGCAACTTTATAAAGTACTATGCTTGCTCGAAAGAACCCCACAAACGTAGAGAAACTTAAACTTCATTCGCTGAAATACAAACGGGGTAATAACTACTCACCTACTGAGAACAAAGTACACAGAGTCTGGCTTGGCCTGGATCGCAGTCTTCGTGAATCCCAGCTTATCGGCTGGCCAGAGCTCATCTCCAAAGAAGCTACTAGTGTATAGTATCTGGTCTCCGGCCTTGATTCCGGCCTTTGCGGCATTACCACCACCGTCGACACCCTGTGCAATACGATGACAAATGTCTCCTGAATTCATTATTGTGCGGGAACAAGGCGTATACGGGCGACTGAACGATTGAACGCATGTCTTGAAAGAACGAATGATATTCCACTGCGGAAACTTACAGTAACAATGACACCGCCACCAGATTTCTGTCCGAGGGTGAGACCAAGGGGCTTGTCAACCTCCGTTTCGAAGGTCTTCGATGCACCTGCAGTTTTGGCTCTAACCTGCAAAGCAACAAAGGCCCAACAACGATGTAGACTATTACCAACCGGAAAGCGCCATTTATGAGACAAGAGTTTAATTCTTCAAAAAAATCAAGGAGTAATTGACAATTTGCAAGAACACGAATGTTTGAAAAGACTGGCAGGGGAGTCACAAACCTGAAGAAGACCTGTCCTTGACTGGAAAACTTTCTTGGAGGTCACGGCCTGAACACGAATGTCGGGTAGACCTTTTCCCAAAAAAGAGCTCTGCAGCTGTTGAGTGACAATTTGAAAGTCAGATCATGTTCGAAGGAAAACTTTGGTACGTGCAGGAAATACGCAGACTAAACTGGACCCTCGCAATTAACGACAATTCTACACTTAAAGGCAAAGCGAAGACCAATACTAGAACGGACGGAAGCAACGTAAGCAAAGCAGACGGTTTCAAGACCTCCGATTTCGGTAATTAAAAATCAACCTGTGACAAAGCGGAATTTGCTCGACTAGAAAAATCACAATCTAGACCTCTTCGTCAGCGGTATTGTTTCTTCCTCTTCACAGAAACTCGGGACGCTACAGCGTCTCTGATTTATCCCATATCTCGAATCAACACTGTATCAACTATGTACCACAGGACGACATTCCCACCCGACGTGTCCGAATACTCTCGTAAAAGCTCACGGCATGCAAGGAGGGTTGTCATCTTCGCGACTGGGAAAGGAAGAAGAATACCTGGCAGTTCGAAACTCTGGAAGACACGGGAGCAAGAGCACATGATGGCGAGTTTTTCACGCACGTAACCGTGGCACCGAGCCCGACGGCGGCAGCCATGGATCAAACGTTTCGACACCTCAGAAGAAACGACGATTTCCGCTGCTGCTCGCTCGCTGCTACGACGATGAGCGACTTGGTATGCAAGCTGTCGAAGCGAGCCCCGAGCGCGCGACCTCAATCAAAAGTGCTCCGCCAGCAAAGAGGAGCGTGTGTTGGCGTGTGTGTGGCTCAGATCTCCAGTCCTGGAAATCATTTGCTCCGAGCTGCAGCGACGCGCTGCAGGCACGGATGGCTGGCTGGCTCGCTCGCTCGCTCTCTCGCTGGCTGGCTGGCACCATCAGACCCCCAAATGCAACTTGTGGACCATCTCGTCTCCTATCTCTGTGTGCACGGCGGTAAACCTTCTACGGTACAATCAACTCTGCGTCCGACATTATTTCCTCCTAGTGCATAACACGAATCTATAGCCGATCTGCCCCCACCATCGTGCCAATTTCACTTACTCACCTCTCTAGCCCTTGCTCTACACTCATGCCCCTTGCATGATACTTTTTCTTGGAGGAATGCCCAAGAACACCGCTATTCGATCAGGAAGAGCATTCTATTTAGTCTCAAGCTTCTAAATGACATGGGTAACAATGGTGAGTTGTTGTACATCTTCTCTATGATGGCTATTATGCTTCTTTCTTTCAAAGTAGAGACTCATTTCACTTCGTCCACGTCGAATTAATACCTCGAGTGACATGTCTGACTGAGAGCAAATACTTGCTAACATTTCTAATCACTTACTTCCATTTCAGGCTCTGTTCCACTGTCAAGTTCATGACTATGAGCTATTTTTTCCCCTATTTGTGATGATTTATTGTGGAGCTCTTTCTTCGATAAATTGTACATTGCATCATTCGCTTATGAATGCACACCTTTGAATACTTCACTACCTAGCTTTATAGCTTCATTCCATGATTCGGATCGAAGGTTTTTTAGGTTAATGATTTAGGCCTTCTCCTAGTTTTGAGTTTCATATGTTTAAAGTATGCATGACATGAAATCATGGCTTATGCAGTCCATGAGTGTCATTAGGGTGTTGTTATTCTGTCTTGTGTGACCTATTCATTCATCTTGTCGAGGATGATATGCATGGAGATAACTTATTAAACTGATCGATTTGCATGTGTCATTTGGTATGATTGCTTCTGGTATGTCTTGTCAACACTATTCTCTTATCTTCTTAAGCAATCATACATTTACATTCATATCACCTTTGCATTTTTCGATAAATTGATTACCCTTTGAGATGATTAATAAATGGACTTTGCTAATTATATAAATATAATCTGTAAATAAACAGGCTTTTTGACATCTTTGTGAAATCATTCAACATTCAAATGTATGACATGATACTCACAACAGAAGCATATTTCTTTGACCATGTTGTCAACGGTAGTGTTGTTACTGATATAGACTACTTTTATAATATTTGTTTGCTAGTTGATTACACTATAGAATTTGAACTCACAAAGAAACAAGATAATTATCTGATTTTGTTGTGATTGCGCGTTATTTCGTTCTTTAAATGCATAAAAATTATTTAAATGAGCATTCTTTACTTAAATGTAATAATACAAATGGCAGGAGATGCTTTAGCATTAGTCATGACATGATAAAAGTTTATGTTATACTATTTATCAAGACACCATACAAGAATTGTATGTTTTACCTTCAACGAATAATATTTTTCTTTATAAGTTTTATTTTATTTCTCGGCTTTCATGCAATCAAATCCGGAACTCCGGTAGAACCCATTTCCCAAGAAGTGCCATTTAAATATCACACTAGATCTTGGTGGGAGCCATCTTTTAGTTGATCAGTCTAATAAGAGAAGTCACTATACTTGAAACTAAGGTTTTCTTTATTTATTTTTACTTATTGATTCTGACATTCATGGTATCATTACAATTTATCAATTTTCTTGCTGCAAAATATTTGAAATATTTTGAACCTTGACTAACCTTATATTCTGGGGTTTCTGAATTTGTAGTGCATAAACATATCAGATGATAACATACATCGCTGTCAATTCAAATATCACAATGCATAGAGTCATCTATACAAATTTATCACAATTTTAAGTCGTTTATGGTTAAAAATACTAACAAAAGACAATGTGTTGATCACAATCACAATACCGAAAAGGTTCATATTGTTGTCAAGTCAGATCCATTTTGTGCTATTAAATCTGCAAATTTATGCACAAACTACTCTTCATTAAAGTCCCAATTTACACAATTGAAGCTTCAAGAAATCCACATCTAATTTTGTCTGCTAAGCATTAGATACTTTAAAAGAACTAAGTGTGTGAAACAAAAGTATAAATCTCAAGATATAAATTGCAGAATAGACTTCAAAAGGTTTACATGATATGCATATGAAGATTTAGTCATTAAATAGTTCCTTTATTAATCTTAAAAAATGTGAAGAATTGATATTTTTCAAATAATTAATCTGGTTCAGTTTAATAGTTAAAACTTATGATTCATTAATAGGACTACTTTGAAGATGTTATGCTTTTACATACCTCATTGCAGTTTTCATTTGTGTGTTTGAAATTACTTTACTTTACAAGATTTTCTGAGGGTAAAACTCATGAATTACATGAACACTGAAGTAAAGTGGTTCATCCTCAGCTAGAGGGCTACGTCCACCCAGAACTCTTAGCACTTTACTCCATGTCTTGTAAGAAAGACTCCATGTACAAGGTGAGCCCCGAGGTATTTATCCACGGTTTAGACAACTGTCATAGCTATAAATAGCTAGGACTTGAGTTTACTACTTAACTGAAGTTAATATCAACACCCTTCCCTTTAGCTCACCTAAAGTAACAGTAAACTCTATAGCGTATTTTAATACTCGGCGAGAAGTTCTAGACAGAAACCTAACATAAGCCCCTTCTTTACACAAGAGTTAACTAAAACTAAGCCGTAGTCATAACAGGATAGAGTAATAACATGAAGAGTTAACAAAAAAACCACATAGCATAGAGAGAACAAAAACCTTGTAAAGTTATAATTACTTTGCGGAAAGTTCTAGAAAGAAATTTAATACAAGGTCCCCCTTCACACAAGAGTTAACTAGAAATATGCCGTAGCCATCACAGAACAGAGTAAATATATAAAGAGATGACTGAAGATAATATGTTAGCAAACTTTACTTGCGCTTCTGATGCACAACCTACATGATAGCACAGTGTCGCCTGAAACTGTCTATAAAAATAACTTTGATCAACGCATGGATAAAATTTACCGTTTATCTTGATTAGCTCAATCATCAGAGTTTACCTTCAAGATTGACTAGCTTAATTACTAGAATCGATCGTCAATCTTGACTAGCTCAATTATAAGAGCTTACCGTCAAGATTGACTAGTTCAATCATCAGAGTCTACCATCCATCTTGACTAACTCAATCATTGTATGAAACACTATTATGTGATAAAATACCATATATAGTTGTGCTTCACGGTACTGTAATTAACTTCTACCGTGCAGATCTTGATCATTAATCACATAATGATCAAAACTCCCTCACAACTACATACCGGTACTCATCTCGATCATTAATCACATAATGATCAAAACTCCCTCATAACTACATACCGGTGCTCATCTCGATCATTAATCACATAATGATCAAAACCCTCTCACAATTACATATCGGTGCTCATCTCGATCATTGATCATATAATGATCAAAACTCCCTCACTACTACATACCAGTGCTCATCTCAATCATTAATCACATAATGATCAAAACTCCACCACTACTACATATGTGAATGCAAATTTTTACTTGTCAGTACAAAGATCCTGAAAATTCCTCAACTCTTTCAAGGAACAAGTCTTATTGAAAGACACACAACCACTGACGTGAATCTTACAATCTATGTTGCTCGCGACTGATTGTCATCTGTGACTATCTCTCAAAGTCAGCCACGACTAACTGCACCCACAATTGACCATCACCGTTGCTCGCGATTGATTGCGCCCGCAACCAAGTGTTGCCCGCTACTGATTGCGCTCACGACTAATCAAAAACGTTGTTCACAACTTACCATCCGTCACCTACGACAACCGTCGCCCGTGACAACCGTCATTCATAACTGTACCGTCCGTCACCCGCGACTTCAATCGTCTATGATCACCGTCGCCCATGATTGCAATATATATCATCCGCAATTCTCGTCATCCATCACCATTGTTGTCCGTGACGACCGTCACCAGCAACTGTACCGTCAATCACCCGCTACTTCAATTGTTCGTGATCACCGTCGCCCGTGACTATTCGTTGCCCGCGATCTATGTCGCCCGCAACTGAAAACATTGTCTTCAGCGATCGCTTTCGCTAATTGTCACCTGCGATGATTCTCATTGTTACCCGCGACCAATGTCGACCGAAACCGCTTTCGTCCACAACCATGTTGAAAAAGAGAGACAATGACAATTTTCTCAATTCTCAGTCATCGTTCAGATCTTAAAAAATGTTCATATCACTGTTTGTGTTGAAAGCTTTCCAACAATACCCAATTTGCCTATACTTTAATGATGAATATTTTCCATTGAATATGCCGTCATTGTTGGTCAACTGTCAACCGTCACCATCGGCCACCGTTCGTCACCGTCACTCGTTGATTGTGTTGCCTTGCCAGCGTCATTCGACATCAACCACGTTTGACCTTGACCATGTTGACTACCAACCACGTTCAACTTCAACCACGTTTGATCTCAAACCATGATTAACCGATCAATGTAGTCCTGGCTAACGTGGTTGTCACGACCAGAGTTAATGTGCCGATTGCGATTACTCCGCTACCTTTCACCTTGCGGCTCAATCCTGCTTGAATCCTCCGCCTCTACCCTCCTTGCTCGCCACTCGCAAGCGCGGAAGTGGAGGGTCGCACCATTCGCCACTTGGCTCTCGACTTGAGCTCATACCGTTCGGTGTTGTCTACAGCGGCCACCCTGCTCTATCGGGGAGTCCGTTTCGCCACGCGCCGCTCATCTAGTCGTTCAGGCCTGCTTACTCTGACCAATCCGCGCCTAATCTGCCGCGCCGCGCGGAGAGGCGAACTCCAGTTGGCTCTAATGCCAGAGTGGAAGATGTACTGTGGAGGAATAGGAAAGAGATAAACGTTGGTGATGCACTGAGCATGAAGCTTCCAATGTTAGATCCGAGTCAATCATAAGCGTAAGACTTTTCCGACTTCGAGTTTGAAAATCCAACCATACTCTGAGATATACTCTTTCTGTATATGGCAACATTTGTGTTGTGATCAAAACATGCCACGGTAGTTGACACCACTCTTTGTGAACCATTGTTCCAGAGCTGAGAATTGAACAAAATCACCAACACATGTGAAAACACTGCAATTTGAACCAATAGGAACATATAAAAGTTACTTCATATACTATCAAAACTCTAAAGTCAATCATTTGTCATTCGTATGCAACATTGAATAAATTTTCTGCTTATTACTTTCATTAAGAGACTTCTAAGCCTCATCAAGGCTC